TTGTATAGAAAGTTGTCTATGTCATTCTTTTTTGAATGATAGATGTGTTCTTTTATTCTATATTTAAGTTTACGTGTTGTCATTCCCACATATTGCTTATTGCATTCTTCACATGTGACACAGTAAATTACGTTGCTGTCTTCGCAGCAACTATTTTTCTTACAATAAGTGTGAATTTTCAATCCTGTTGAACTACTTATTATAAATGGACTATGATCCATTAACTTGCAAACAACACATGTGGAGCAACATGCAGTTGTTATGTGATTGTTTCCGAAATTATCTAATGTGTATTTATTGTTTATCCTACTTTTATGAAATTGTGTAAACATAAAATAATTATCATCATCGCAAGACACAGTTTTTTTAGACCACTTGACTAACTCTCCAGTCGGCAGGTCCTTACCCTGGAGAGTTTGGGAGATAATGATTCGGCAGGGCTGCTGCCAGGGTTCATGACAGACCCTATTAGTGTTTAAAGAATTTTTTGAATCTTAGTTTACTTTTGAATAAACGGGACCTACGGAGTCGCAGGAGGGGTATCCCCCACGTCCCACCGTCAACCGCTGGTATTACCCATCGTAGAGTCCCCCTATTTTTAAAAAACAAGAGGTATGGCCCTCTTCTCAAAGAATGTCTACGAATTTACAGTAAACTATAACCTTACGATATAAAATAAAATAAACTTACCTATGTTATTGATATTAGAAATAATCTAATATAAGATATAATTAACTATATTGTGAAAGTTGTATATTGATAAAAGTAGATATTTTAAATTAGTTTAGTTAATTATTATAAAAATATGTTTAAAGACTAAGTGTAATAATTAATGGGGAATATAATAAATAACAAATAAAATTAATATAGAAATTAACAAAAATTATTGACTGAATTTTATAGTATGTTGTAAGATAAACAATCTAAGTAAGATTTTGATAATGTGTTATTATAAGAAAAAAATATCTGCAGTTGCTTTATCTTTTTAAGAAGATCAAAAGTGGATAAGTTTATTATCAAATAAAGTAGTTGAATAATTATAGAAGAATCATATAAATACTGTCCGTTGATAGTGTGACTTGATTAGTCGAAAAGGAGGAAGATGAAACTGTCTATTCGACAGTGCGACCCAGTTGGTCGAAAAGGAAGAATATGAAGCTGTCAATTCGACAGCGCGACCCAGTTGGTCGAAAAGGAAGAATATGAAGTATGAAGCTGTCAATTCGACAGCGCGACCCGATTGGTCGAAAAGGAAGAGTGTGATGCTGTCAGTTTGACAGTGAGAGTGAGAATAGTCGAAAAAATATGAAACTATCTATATGATAGGTGTATGAGAAATGATAATGAAATAAGGAATTAAAGCTGGAATAAGTGATGTGTAGAAGCTGTCCAATCTTAAGAATGAAAATAGATTGAATGTTATATGTAGTCGATTCCAAAGATAATTTTCATGAATTTGAAGGTGCAAAGTGGATAATTGACAATTGATAGTGACTACTTACTTTATTTTGACTTACTTTATTTGCTTGACTTCGAATAGTAAGGTCAGAAGCAGAACAGATCATTATCGTAAGAGAATAATTTTTTTTTTCAATGCTTGAGATTGTTTCAAAAGTATTTATATAGGTGAAAAATGTCATTTCTCATTTTAACTACTGATTCCACCAGTTAGTGTTAAGGGTGTATTTAAAATGAATATTGTTTTGTTACTCAAACTTGGTAGCTTGTTTCATTTTATTTATTTTTGTGTGCTATGATGGTCGATATTATACCACAGGATTATTATATGGTCGTGTTGTCGTGTCGACTGAAAGAATGGTGAGTTTTACAGCATAAGTAGGTAGTTTGTACAACGACACTGTATGAAAAAGCAGATTAGGCAAGTTGCAAAGGAGTAATTGAAAGCTTGAAAGGAATAGATAAAGCTTGAAAGGAATAGATGGATTTATAGGCAAGAACGTGTTAGTATTTTGAAAGATGAATAATATTATTGATTCATTATGATGATATACAAAATTTATTTATACTTTGTGATTAAGCGAAAAACTTTCAATACGAAGTTTATATTTACATACTAATATGTATTGTTGTAACCCCAAGTCTTAAACGAAAGATTGAATTTTGTGACTTTGGCATCATTTCGTCCACTCCTCAAACTCACACAATCGATACAAGAATAAAGCTTTTTCGAGTATCAAGGGCCATATTTCTACTTCCTTATGACTCAAAATTTTGCAAACTTGAAATCTTCTGTAGAACACTAATTCTTACTATATACTCGCAGTTGCCGAAAAATCATTACACTGTTTCGATGTCTTCGAGAATCCGCAAGTAATTGCGGAGGAAAATTTGCCCGTCTATACAGAGTCGCTTTTCGGACTACTACAAAATCTCAAAAATTGGCATATGAGAGTGAAATACTGGTTTGAAATGTTCAACTATTCACACATATAAATATTAGTGCTTCGAGGAACAGAAGAGTCAAAGTAGAGCATTTGCGGAGTCATCTTTTTGCAGATTCGTAGTTCTTCACTTAGAAAACAACTGGGTTGTAATGTAGTACATGGTTTGAGGTAACATTTTGATTCACAGATTGCAGTGCAAGTCTAGCCGAAGTTTGCTTTTCAGATAAAGCTCTGCATACGAAATTGATTTAATGCAGATTTATAAAAGTCTTAAAAAGCGAAGACCCGTATATTACAAAGGTTTTAGTTGAAAGGGAAATGATTTAGATGCGTAATCGTCTGTATATAAATAAACCTCAATCTCTGTAAATTTGTTCGCTTGTGAGTATGTGGCTTATAGGCTCCTTTGTTTGGAGCCGATGAGGCTGAAATTCGCCCTATAAATGAGGCACGGCGAAGAAGATAGGCTACCTTTCACTACGATTCACTGGGTCCTTCCATCGATTTATTGATTTGTTTACTTACATGTAGGAAAATGATGTTTTGACCAAGCGTCTTCTGTAGAAACGTAGACGAAGGCGGTGAGTTTTAGTTACTCTTCGTAGCTAGGGGGATACGGTGTTCCGCGGCGGGAGAGCAAGAAAGGAAGACAAAATCCACGGAAACGGTTGTACAATTCGGAGAAAAAACATGGAAAAGGAAGGGGCAGTGAAGATGAAGTAACAGCCAGGAAGAGAGTGTCAAGCGGCAAATTTTTGTGCTTTGCCGAACCAGTTTAACCCCATCCGGGCTGGACAGGGGACGCCAGCCAGTAGACAGTAAATGGCATTCTGTGAGGTGTAACGAAATCAACGAAACCAGTCGTCTCTGCCGCTACGCGGCAGGTTCGACTGGTACTCGGCAGCTTCACTGCCTCGTATATCTTTCGTTCCACTCTGTGTTGTGCAAATGTAAGAATTTGCCAATGAATTTGTTAGTCTGCACGAAACACTTCGGTTTTAACCTTGGTAGATCGAGGATGATTGAGGACACAATTTTGGCCTCAGTTGTATTTGAGTCAATATTCTAAGCAACAGACAATGCGCAATCAACAACTTAAAAGGGCTGGATGTGTCCCATGCTGTAAAGGGTATCACGGTGTATCACGGTGCTGGAAGTGGAAGAATTCAAAGTAGGTACAGTACGTGAGAATAGCGTCACGGTATGAATAAAAGATAGGGAAGGATGTAAAGGTGTTGACTGTCACGTGCTTTCTAATCAATGCTTAGCCTTAATTATGTCACGAAGCCCCGCCTTCCAGCCGCCAAGCCAGTTGAATCAAGGGTAGTTAAATATCAGTCAGCTATCGAGAATATGAGATACAAAAGATTGATGAACAGATAGGGAAAGTCAACAATTAAAGTGATCACCATGACTCCTATCCTTTCCCTCAATTTTTAGCCCCAAAAGCGTTAAATAAGAAAAATAGTGAATCGATTTAGCCTGTATTACCCTATTTTCAGGTGTATAAGCCGCACCCTTTTTGCTCTTAACGCGAGCAGACCCAGGCCTGCCGCCGCGCATATGTCTCGCGATGCGGTCCCTTATCGCATACTGCTCTCACTTAACGCTCCATAATGACAATCAGTCTTTCGGCGTGCTCGCCTTTAGAGCGAAAAGGGTGCGCTTATACACCTGAAAATAGGGTAGTGGAAATAGATCATTAACAAAAGACCCGTTCAGAAGTTTATGTACGCGAAGTTTGGTTCAAATCTCATGCTTTATTTCTAGCATTCAGGGCCAGTTATAGCAAAACTGCTAAGCAAAATCGGCGGAATCCAATGAATTAAAAGCGATAGATTACTTTTGATAAAAAGAGTGACATCCGTCCGCTCTGAAGCTCATGTAAGCGAAGTTTGGTTCAGACCCCATGATTTTTTCAAACATATTGGGCCGGCCAAAATTTCCAAAGGAAACTGCAAGAAATCAATAAATCAATGAAAGTAGTTATGTTTTGAACAATATAACTTATAAACGCCTCGCATCATTCGAAAGCGTAAATGAAATGAGCTATACCTCTCTGTCTAGCTATTTGGTGAAGTTGGGTAAAAGTTGCTGATAAGACAATTTCCTCTGAAGCCAAATCCCAATAAAAACAATAGAAACACGCAGCAAATTGCCGCGGAAGGTAGCCTATGCTATACTTCTGTGTTCAGAACACATGCATATTCAGACTGAGTTAAAACTTCTTCAATTATTTAGAAAAGAAAAAAATTGCTGAGCAAAAACAGAAAAAAACCGATAAACCGGACAAACCATGTATCCCTAACGAAATGACTTATTGACACAAGACCCATCCCATACATTTGTTTGCCAAATTTGATTCGGATTTCACTACTCCTTCTATCCTTTTTGATCAAACAAAAAAATTTCTAAGCAAAAACTGCTAAAGATTAAAAAAATCAATGGGGCCGATTCGTGCATCCTGAGCAGAATTGCTCATTAACACACGCCCCCCCATGCGTTATGTCTGCCAAATTTGGTACAAATTCCATATCTTCTTTCAACCTTTTTAATCGTATCTTTTTTGATTGTATTCGTATAGTGAAAACTTACTTTGAAATCTGCAAACTTTACATCGAATCCAACCTTCTGAACTATTCGAGCGAACTTTCGCGAAGCTTGTCTGTAATAAACGCCTATGATGTTGATACCAGGAATGGTCATGGCATTTCTTGCAATGACGTTATCCATGCGCGCCAAGTGCAAAGATGCATCTGTAACGCGGAAAACAGACGTGCGCTGGACAGTGCTCGCGAATGCTATTTTGTCATTCTTTGCAAGGAGGACAAGAATTGGCACACTGGCAAGCTGAGAAGAGTTTTATATCGTTACAAGGGCTTTTGAAAGCTTTTTGATCATCGTTCTTCATGCAAAAGAGTCGCAATCAGAAGGTATAAGCATTTTCAAATCGTAAATTGATGTCCATTCAAATAATTTACGTCAAAGGATGTTGTAAAAGTAGTATTGAGTATGTTACCTACAACATCCACTCAAAATCCAGAGAAATTGGTTTCAAATCGTTTCCAGTGCAGTCGAAAATTTGACAGACTCGAGATTTTAAGCATTCTTAATTTTTCTGAAAAGCGTTTCGCAGATAAGAAAAGTAGATTTGAAGTCCGCATTCAAATGCGCTTTTGATGGTATACAACTCTTTCCAATTCCTTGGTGCTACATTGTTAGTTGGTGCTTTAGAGCTGATGTGCTAGGTTGTTATTACTTTATTCTCTCACGCAGACTATTCCTTCCTCTCACGCCGGGCTTCGTCTAAAAATCGCTAGCTTGTGCTACTTCGTTCCATTCACATTTTGACATTCATCCGCATGGACGCTTCTTATGGATTAGTTTCGCGTAGTAAGTCGGTACCTACGCGTTCCTCGTTCGGACATTTTTGACTCTCGTGTATAATAGTTTGGTTTTTAACAATGCGTTGGTTTTTTTATCGACTTCATAGAAGAATATTGAAGTTTACTCACGCTTTTTTAGTACTACACTTGAACTTTTTGTAAAATAAAACGAACGATTACGACAAGCAAAGGCTGTCCAGAAATTAGCCTTCACTTCTTGTGATCTTATTCCATTCTATCAAGACTTTTTCCACCAGATGAGTTAAGCCTACCGCAGGTGAGTATTTAGGTGTTCCATGACACATGAGGCGCATGCATAATTTCATTACAAAGGAACGCCGCGACCACTTCTACTCGAAGCAGACCTATATGTAATTTTTCAAAACATGAGGAAAGTATAGGTCATTCATAAAATCGTGACGATGGGTTTAACTGCAGTCTTTGCGCCCGCAGGAGCAGAAAATACTCATACAAAAACATCACCTCAACTTTCAGCTCAGTCACTCCCAGTGTCTGAATGCATCATATGTGAGCAGAGAAACCATTGTAATAAAGATGAAAACCAAGAAAATAGCGATTGACGGGTTTGCATGTGAGTCGCGCGCGGTCGCGCCATCGTCAGGTGCTGGGTTCGCGCCGTGCCGTACTTGCACCAAGTGCGCGTACGGCTGAAAATCGACGCCAAATTCTGCCCTTTTTTCTTATTTGGGTTTTTTTTGTTTTCTAGCTGCATGCGCGTTTAGTTTTCGATGATTTGTTATCTTTTAGCCGTGCACTGCCGTTTTAGATCGCATATTTCAAAATTTTTCACTTTTGCTTCCAGGTAAGGGAGGCAAATACGCAATCCTGCAAGATTTCAAGGTAAGTGCGCTTTCTTCAGTATTGTCGGATGTATTAGGTTGTCCGGAAATTAATGCCCGTTTTGAATTTCAACCGCAATAAGTCATACACCTCTCACTTCTAAATAGGATGCAGAGTACCATTCGATAGAGTAAAGCAATCTCTACAAAAGATAGATAGTTGTATACTACAAACCTGTAGAAGTACAAACGTAAATTCTCAGCTCTCTAGAAGCTTTAGTTCTCAAGAAATTTGAATTTTAGCTTGGACCACCTAATTAAGGAGAGCTATATTTGGTATTTCTCGAGATCTAAAGCTTGTAGAGAGCTGAAAATTCAAGTCTGTACTTCTACAGGCTTGTGGTATACAACTACCTATGTGGGGATGGCACAGCATCACTTTGGCAAATGCACGAAAATTTCCGTTTTCTTGGTTTCTAAAGGAGGGAAAAATACGGCAAAGGCGTATATGGATGTTTTATGTGGATAGTGTTTACGTGAGCAAGTAAGAATTTTTGTAGGATTTTTGTGAACTGAGTTACGATTTTTTCAATTTTTCGGGCTGCTGAGTTTTTTTAGTTTTTGGCTCGAAATTCGAGGTGGGTGAGAGCTGTTGCAAAACCAAGATGGCCATTTTGTAGAGCTTGCTTTGCTCTATCGAATGGTACTTTGCAACCTATTTAGAATTGAGAGGTGTATGACTTATTGCGGTTGAAATTCAAACCGGGCATTAATTTCCGGACAACCTAATAAAAAGAGTAGAGTGTCTCTTAGGCAATACAAGATTCAACTCCCTTCCAATTGATATCGAAATTCTGTTCTTTTATGCCGTGTTTCTATAGAGAAGCTTCTTCTGAATTCCATAGTAGTATTGCAGAGACGCTAGATGATAGTGAGTATTTTACGTTCGCTTATGTCTTTCCTGTTTTGCTCGTACCTTCTCGGTTCTTATGCTATCACATTCAGTTTCTTTTAATTATTTCTTTCCTTGTTTACTCTTCTTTCGCCATAGTGTTTTGGCCAATCCAGTCGAAGCTACGAATCCTAATTGTACAAGGGCTTTCAACCTGACTGCCACGGTCGGCGAGACTTTGTCGTTGCATTGTTGTTGCAGTTATTTGCTTTGTGCTGCCGTTGTTTTGAGGTCGGCACCGTATGCTGTTGTTTTGTCGTCGGCCCGCACCGTATGTTGTTGCTTTGTCTTTGGCTCTCACCGTATCCGCTGAAAGTGAACGAGAACGCGAAAAGTAATGTTATAATGCGGAGTGGTATTTATCCTTGAAATGAGGAAAGATTCACAAACCGCCTCCACAAGGATCTGGGAGCCGATCAAACATACTACAGCCAAACAACCGAGAAGATGAGCGAACAGGACATATTAAAGGAACAAAGAAGGGGATTCGCTCTTAACTTACCATTAATACAAATATTTTTGCGATGCTGAATAAGATCCATGCAATTCACAAACATCGCAATAACAGGAAAAATTTCTGCTTGAAGCAGACCTGTGCTTGAAAATAGCTTCTCATTGAAAAATCGGCTCAAAAAACAAAATTTTCGATATCAGTCAGAAGGAAGTTGAAACTCGCATTGCCTAAAAGACACTCTACTACATCCGACAGTACTGAAGAAAGCGCACTTATTTTGAAATCCTGCAGGATTGCCCATTTGCCTCCCTTACCTGGAAGCAAAAGTAAAAATTTTTGAAATATGCGATCTAAAATGGCAGTGCACGGCGTAAAGATAACAAATCATCGAAAACTAAACGCGCATGCAGCTAAAAAACAAAAAAGACCTCAAAATAAGTAAAACGGGCAGAATTTGGCGTCGAATTTTAGCCGTATGCGCAGTTGGTGCAAGTACGGCACGGCGCGAACCCACACCTCATCCGGGATTTCAAAATTGTGTGCAGTGACACACATCGCATCGAGATGACTAGACGGATGACGTCTACTATACATCATTTTATTGATATTGATATATTGATAACTGATATTATTATTGATGTTTCTGAAGCTACCTGCTGGCATTTTCCGACTTAGCTCCTGTTGTCACCATCTTACCCGAGGAGAAAATCAACGCAGTCGTTCGCGGTTCCCTTATACGCATGATTGCTGCTGAAAACCTTTTTGGGTTGTATTCTGTGTTCCTCGAATGAAGTGTAAGCTGTTTCAAATCGATCCGTTGTCCTGAAAAGCAGTTTGGTTTACTAATCTAGAAAATCAAAAATTTGTCTGATTAACTACCTAGATCAGCTGTAGCAACTATATTTTGTATAAAGGGGACCGGAGTATCGAAGGGACAATTAGCCGGATAGGTACTCTTGAGTGCGTCAGGAATGGCGATATTAGATGATGGAAGATCTTCTTTATCGTCATAATGCTGAAGGTTACAAGAAAAAAGTCATCTAACATCATGGAATGAGATTTCTCCTGACTTTGATGTAATTTTCCAGTTTTATAGGTTCGGAAGCTGTGAAATTTGTCCTACCGCCAATTCTTGCTATGTTCTGCAATTCTTACATTGAATTGGGTATAGTGCAAAGCAACACCATGGTTTCTTACTTTGAACTGAAATTTGTTCGTCGATTTATCAGGTTTGATGTCGGTATTAGCAAAATCTCCCTCTGATGGATAGCCGAATGTTCGATTCAAAATACTCGAAGGCCCTGAAAGTTTTCAAATCGGTGTGTAATGTAATGTTACTTCATTACTTTGTAACTTTTACATTTCTTACCAAGTAAACTGAGTCCTCCATCTACTAGACGTTGTTCTGTTGCAGGTAATGTGGGATCTAAGCTCGTTGACAATCGAGTTGAATTTTCTTTATCTGAAGCATGGAGAGAATGGGGGACGCGACATCCGTGCAAATTTCTTGCGCCGATGCCTCAAGAGACGTTAAACAGCACAAAAGTCAGAACTTGTCAGTACTCCTGTTGCATTGTTACTGATGACATATAGTCATGCATTTCCCTCTTTCTCCCCCCACACCTCCCTAGTTTGTCGCCGTGCCACATCAGCACCGAGAGTTTTGCGAGGCGCAAAATTTGAGCGCGGCGTGATACGGCCGCCGTGCGCAGGGTGACTCCTCCCCCAATGCCGAAAAACGATTAAGGGCTTGCTCAACACCTCTCTCCTTAACTCATTCCGTTCTTCTTTGGGTCCTCTGCATGCTGCACTTGTTGGCACATTACTTTTTGTCAGTGCAAAATCTTATATACTTTTCTTATCTAATAAGGTGGGGATGTGACCGTGGCCGTTCGCAATGGTGCACGTATCATTAGATGCGTCCCAAAACGCTGATTACGTATCTGCTTACATTATTCGCTAAGCGATTGTCTGAAAGAAGTTATTCTTATTTCCGCATAATTTTTTTACACATTAAAGCATAGTCAGAATCGTTGTATCCGGTATTTTGAGGTATATGCAACTGAGACAGATTATCCAAGCTCAAAAGAATTGCGCTCGTCTTTGAATGTTTTTTCGAGCAGGAACAAGAAATTTAAGCGATGTTCGATAGTTTCACTCAACCAAAACTGTGCAAATTCTTAGAGAAAAACATCCATAACTAATTTCAGACAATCGCTTAGCAGCAGTGGCGCGTTTGCAGGTTTCCGGCGCCCCGTAAAATTTTTGGGGGCTTTTCAAAATTCTTGCGGGTCCATAACCCTTAAAACCCCGAAAAACTTTTTTCTACAAGGCTAATTTGAATTCTTAAAAATTTTAAAAAAGTATTCTAAATATTTACAAGATTGAACAAGCCACTCGCACATTTTTATAACGCATGTAAGTAAATGTCAAGAATTTTGCAACCCTTCTCGGGGGCGTGCCCTCCCCCCCCTCCCTCCCCCCAATATCTTTTAAAAATTTTGTCCGCCGCTTAATAAGCGGAAGAGATTTGAAATTGGCGTTTTAAAACGCATCTAGTCAATCATATGTGTCTTCATAAATGTTTTATCTTATCCGTAACTTGTAAGCAATTTTATGAATCTCAAAAGATTTCTGCAAGCTTTGTGTACTGCTCACAAACTTATATGTGTTGACTGAGATGCAATAGCGCGCCAATCGCACACAGTGGAGCGCAGCGGCTTCAGCGGCCATATAAGAATATCAATAAAATCACTGTTACCTTAAACTGGACTCTTCTGTCTTCCATCACATGCACCAACACAATAAGAATATTAAGTTTTCCACAAAGAAATAAAAGCGCGTATTTACCTCACATGCTGGCGGCGTAAGAAAAAAGCATGCTTTCGTTTATGTCGCACAGGCAGCGATCCATCCAGCAGCTATCTCTTATGAGCCGCCGGACAAAGCATGGCGGTCGTGGCGATAAGCCTTGTCATGCAGGGCAGACAAATGAAAACAGCGCAGTTAGCTGAGAGAAGCTGAGGGCGCACTTGATTAAGGTTTGAGCGTCGATCACCGATCTGTGACCTGCTCTGCGGCAGAAATCATGTTGTCGCAGTTATAGTCTGCCCAATCGGGATCAGGGTGAGCCGTCGGCTGATTTTGCGCGCTTGCAGCGCTATTTGCGCTGCATACGCGCGCTGTCGCCGAGATTGAAGAAAACAGAGCAGACTAACTAGCCGTAAACGCGATGCAATGCTCTTGCGATACGGACTTCCGCCATGCCATTTTTGGCCTGATTGGGTTTGAGGCAGACTGTATAGTTGCAGGGTCCCACAGCTCGCGTCTCAGCCTTGGCGAAATCTGTTTCCCTCCTTCAAATCCAAAGTGTAAGGCTTTGGGGAGTGCTTCTTTTTGCCTAGTTCGCTCTCTCTTAGGTGAATTTTAGAGCGTTGATATAGCCAGGATCGAGCAAGAGGTGTGGCACACAACCTCCGGACGCGACCCCCCTCCCCCTTAAGTTTTGTCTCAATACCCCCCCCCCCCCTCAGCGTTACAATTGATTATTGTTGTAGGCACGACATAAGAGCTCTACCAAGCATAATTGGTAACATATTTGTAATTATCATGTCAATAACTTTTGTGGGCCGAGCTTTAGCAAATTCTGAGCGTTCTCAATATTGAGACACCCAAGTGAAGTTACCAATTTCAAACATGGTTAACTACATTTCAAAACATTAACTACCTCTTTCTGACCTCAATAAAAGCACTACTTCTTGTTTGCCCACATTATGTGTGTGCTTTAAATGACCATCAAACTATAGGATTAGCCAGCCAAAATCTCATTCGTCCCATTTCTCGCTGACAGTGATTGTGCTTCGAATTGAGCTTTAATCACTTCTGTGGAAAAGACAAACTTTTAGCTATTACTGTATACACTTTGATTCTAAATCTCTTTGGAGGTATGTTAATGAGGTGTGCGCAACCCCAGAAAAGCTGTGGCTGCCACAGCTTTTTAAGGGTTATGCTATACCCCATTAACTAAGCTTTAAAGTATTCAAGTGTGCGTGCTTTTTATATCATTAACATCTCTTCTCTGTACAGCAGGGAATTCATTCAGAATCTTCTCCCTTACCAAAAGATATGGTCGTTTTTTCCTACACATGCAAATGGAAAATATTGCGAAAATGTCGGGTCACAGTAACATGCTAAGTCTGCATTGCTATTTGAATTGCGAGGGAGAGCGAGAGTAAATATATTTGACAGCCTAAGACTCTCTACTTTAACAAAAGTGATCTGGGCTTGATTGGTCTCCTCTAGTCCGAGATATTGAAAGCGGTAAATGACAACGAGATTTTGGCTTGCTCTTAATTCATAGTCTGGAGGTTATTGCGAGCGAGAAGTAGTTTTATTATTGAGTGCAAAAAGAAGTATTTAACTCGCCTTTGAAACAAAGTCAACATGTTCAAAATGACCATCTCGGTATATTGCATAACCAGTGCGTCAAGTCTGCTTCGCAGAGGCTCGCACTGGTCCTACTATCTGTATATCTTACTCATTCCAGCAATAATGACACTGAAAGTTACCGCGCAATGCCAACTCTCGTGAATGAATGTAAACAACTACTCATTCTGAAAGCTTTTTCAAGTGAAATCGGTGATTTCGCGTGGATGGAACTTTTTGCAAAAGAACAAACGCAAATTTGAATGTGTTTTTGGGTTCTTCAGGTTCCGGTAGTCGCCATATGAACAATAATCACCGTGAGCTACATTTTGGTGCAAAAATCTCGTCAGATGCTCTGGTTAAATCTTGGCAAATTGATCATTTATGTAATCAATTCTTTTTAACGCTCTTCTTTGTGAAGAGTGGACTTTTGATCATATTTTTGGGCCTATATTCATGGCTTGCACACTTACTTGCCATACAATTCGCGACTCTACAAAAAGTGGGATTACGGACTCAATTTTGCAGGCCAGAAGCAAAGTGGACCCGTTTGACGCGCAGTTTCTGAGCGATCCACTCAACGAATCTGCTCGTACTTTTGCAACTTTTGCACGTTGGACTTTCGCGCCAATAGCATGCAGTATGCAAAATTTGAGCTCAGGACGTTGGCCGGAATGTGCTCTACGAATTTCGTAACAGACACACACACACACACACACACACACACACACACTCCACACACACACATACACACACACACATACACACACATATACACACACATACACACACACATACACACACACACATACACACACAACACGTAAACACCCTTAGCCCGTTATTATAAGTAATGATGGGCCTATCTAACGATGCTTACAAATGTCATGTTATCGTCAGTATCAAATCGATTACGATCCTCTTCCTTCCTGACCTCTCAGGGCGATCTCCCAGGTGCGGCGTGCCACATCCCTGTCCCTGGCTATATTTCCAGGTAAGCGTTTGCTAAGAATCGAGTTCTTGCTCTGACATTGCCTTTAATCACACCTGAGTGCGGAGAAGGATATAACCTCAAATTTCTAATAGCACCTATTCTTTTCGAACTCGGAAAAACAATTTTGATATCACAAATCTCTACGATTCCTCCATAGTCCTCTTGCGTTATCACCTTAGGCTGCGTTCATACTGATTCCCATGTTTTGGAACTGTTCCCGCACAGTTCTCGCACTGTGCTGAAACTGTGTGGGAACTGTGCGGGAACAGTTCCAGAACTGTGCTGCATGCGCTGCAGCCGCCCCGCACCGTTTTGAACGGCGGGAGTTGGAGAATTTTGACCGTTCTCAACGGTTTTTCTTCCATATTTCGCTCATTTTGGCCTTAATCCTCCACCCCGCTTCCCTTCTTGATCAGCAACACTGCGAACTCGAAGCGGGGTTGAAGAATGAGCGCTTTTCTGCGCCGTGTATTCGGAAAGATGGGCTATCGTGCGATTTTTCATTCTGTCTTCTTCTTTTTTGCTCAAAACTACTTCATTTGTTCCAGGAAGCGGCTGCCCAATTTCCATAGCCATCTGCCACGAATTAGGGAATAGGAGAAATCCTGAAATAGCATGAGTTGGGACTTGTCTCTTGTTTTTCATGATTTTGGACGTTCTTAGCCTTGTTCGTTTTTCCATGTCGTTGCTTCTCCGTTCTTTCTTCTACCCCTCTTCTCCTAGTGATGAAAAGCTGTGAATTTGAAGCGGGGTTGAAGATTGAACGCTGTTCTGCTCCATGTATCCGGGAAAATGGGCCTTCGTGCGCTCGTCCATTCTCTCATCGCTATTTTTGTTCAGACCTATTCATGTGTACTAACAAGTCGCTGCGTAGTCTCGCTTTTATATTGAAATTGAAATAGACATGTCTTTGGAACAAATGAAGTAGGTCTGAACAAAAATAGCGATGAGAGAATGGACGAGCGCACGAAGGCCCATATTCCCGGATACATGGAGCAGAACAGCGTTCAATCCTCAACCCCGCTTCAAATTCACAGCTTTTCATCACTAGGAGAAGCGGGGTAGAAGAAAGAACGAGAAGCAACGACATGGAAAAACGAACAAGGCTAAGAACGCCCAAAATCATGAAAAACAAGAGACAAGTCCCAACTCATGCAATTTCAGGATTTCTCCTACTCCCTAATTCGTGGCAGATGGCTATGGAAACTGGGCAACCGCTTCCTGGAACAAATGAAGTAGTTTTGAGCAAAAAAGAAGAAGACAGAATGAACAATCGCACCATAGCCCATCTTTCCGAATACACGGCGCAGAAAAGCGCTCATTCTTCAACCCCGCTTCGAGTTCGCAGTGCTGCTGATCAAAAAGGGAAGCGGGGTGGAGGATTAAGGCCAAAATGAGCGAAATCTGGAAGAAAAACCGTTGAGAACGGTCAAAATTGTCCAACTCCCGCCGTTCAAAACGGTGCGGGGCGGCTGCAGCGCATGCAGCACAGTTCTGGAACTGTTCCCGCACAGTTCCCGCACAGTTTCAGCACAGTGCGAGAACTGTGCGGGAACAGTTCCAGAACATGGGAATCAGTATGAACGCAGCCTTAGGTGCCTCGAATCTTACGCTTGTCCTTTTATTTATTATCAAGCATCCGGTTGTCTTGAAAGCTCAAACATGCTGTAAGTAGTCAAGGTTCTTATTATGATCTGTCTTATCTAGTCTGCAAGTTCAAATAGCATTGTTTAGCCAAAGTTTATTCGTGGTGTGATCCTTCTCCGAACTCAGATGCGCTCAATTCTTTTGAGTATGCTTTGTGTTTTTTACCTTTGAAGTAAGTTTCTGCTGTAATCTTTTCCCATAAAATATGCTTTATCTAAGCCATCTTATTGCGCCCTACGGATAAGCGTAATCTCGTAAATGTGAGAGTCAGTATGTTTATGACTGACGATGAAAAAACATTAGGATAAGCAAATGTGGCAAATGCGTTGCATCGTAAAAAAGTAAAATCGTGACTTATAATAAGGCGTCTGTCTGTTTGTCTGGTCTGCATATCTGTCTGTCACGAAAATCACAGAGTGAGTTGCAGCCAGCGCTTTGATCTACAATTTTGGTCATAGCACCCAGTCAGCGTGTAGGTAAACTGTACAAAATCACAAGCTGATCCAGTAAGTGGAACCTCAAAAACTGTGCGTCAAACGGATCCACGCGACTTTTGGCCTGCCAAAATGGGTCGGTAATTGGACTTTTTGCAATGTCTTGGGTTTGTTCAGCAAGTAAATCAAAAAAAACATTGACTTCAGCTCAAAAAGTAAGCAAAAAGTCTATTTTTACACGAAATTAACACCAAAAAGATGTATCTGAGCAAATTGTCGATTTGCCGAGTTTTTACTATAAAAGTGAGAGGAATTTGGAATAGACATGTAGCCCAGGGTGGTCTTTATCCATATGGCGACTATAAGGCCAAAATAAATTCAGTAACCCATTCAAGATCGCATTTTTTTTTCTGCGGGAAAATTTTTTCTCCCAAAATTACCGGTCTCACATGGAAAAGCTCTAAAAATGAATGGTTGTTTACAATTCATTTGTGATGTTCAGCATCGCACGGTGAGTTTCAAAGTCATTATTATGCGATCACGAAGAAGGCCCGGATAGTAGAGCCAGTGCGAATCTCTGCCAAGCAGAGGTGACGCACTGTTATGTTAATAACGCACTCCCGTAAAAAATGAAGTTTCCCCATTCTTTCTTTTTGAGCCCTTTCATCTTGCACCTCAGATGATCTGATAGTGTTTATCAAGACTTCCGCATATTTGCTAGCAAAAGTGAAGAAGAATTGGAGTTTTCGATTAAACTCTCCTTGGTGTTCATCCTTTGTTTTGTTCGATTCTTTAGTTAACCGGATGGTATTTGGTTGCAAAGGTCTTTTGTACTTGGTGGCGTAGCAGGATCCTCCAAAGGCTTGCCGCTTCTTTTCCAGCTGCATTCATTGGGAGCAATATACACTTCGCACCTACCTCGCACTTACGTCGCACACCTACTCGCAAAGGTAACACATAAGCGACGAGTGAATTTTGTTGCTTCTGTTAAGTTTCAAGATTGATAAGTTATCCAATTAACGTTTCATGCCGTTATACTTATCTACCACAGCTTCCAAGTATCAGCCTGCTTATTTTTATTATTATTTTATTTATGTTTATTATTTTATTATTATTTATTATTTTATTTGTTTTTTATTTATTATTTTATTTTATTTATTTTTTATGCTTATTTTTATTATTATTTTTAATTTTATTTTTTATATTTTTCATAGCATTTCATTTTTCGGATATGAACTTCTCGCGAATATAAGTGAATATCGCCTCCCCGCGGGAGCACCTAGAGAAGGGGCGAGCCTTTGAAGGATCCTGCATGTCTTCCTTCGTACTCTGCACCTCTGTGCGCATTTGCTGTGGACTCCGATAGAACACTTATTTACAGGGATGATAAAGAAGAACATCCGACGGACTGAAGATCCATTCTCAGTTCTCTGACAAGTTTGAAATATCTACTTGCTCTTACTCCCGCAATGTCAAATCGTATCAAAGCAAATAAGTACGAAACATCGAATCAGAATTTGTGTGGATCACTTCAGGAAGCACGCTCTTCTATCTTTCTCTTGTTAGCTGAACATGTTAGCCCATGTCATTTTCTCATCACTTAGGTCGCTTACATACGAATTCTTAAAGTATGGGTGAAAGTAGTTTATTGCCATCAGAGAAATTTTAATCCACGATCGTCATGCACGACACATTTTGCGGTTGCTTCCGCCTAAAGTGAGAGGAAGGAATAATTTGTAGTGTGCACGACGTATTGAGACAAGTCACGCGGTGGTTACTGGATACTGTCGTGCGAAAAGACTGTCCTTCTGGGTGACAGGACTTCGGAGGATCTTGCAGGCCGTTCATAGTTTATGCGGCATTTTTTGTATATAGTGTCAAAAGATAGTCTCCCTTGGACCGCTATCATTATTGGACGTTTCGTAGCCAACTGATTATGTGCCACTGCTGACTTTGTGCAAATTAGACAAGCTGTGTGTTGGCTCAGTATATAATCATTTTGTTTGTTCCAGGAAAAAGTCTGTTACAAATTTTTTCTGGAAAAAAGCAAACATACCGGAAACATTGAGTGGGGACTTGTCTGATATCAGGTACTGGGAGAGGAGCAGGGAACATAAAGGCATCTTCTTCGTAGAATGTGTTTTACTCCTATACCTCCTCAAGTCGTGGTGATCTGGAAAAATCAGACAGAGCTCGCAAAAGAAAAATTTCCGCAGTAGAAGAGGATATTTATACGGACTTATATCAAACACGGACTTGATAAAATGATATTTGAAAGCTGTTTTGATGGTAAACACCTAAAAATCTGTTAGACTAGAATAATCATAACAAAACTTGTTTTGCCGTGTAAAGTTGCTTGTGCGCATTGCTCGAGAGCGTATTGCTCGCGTTTTCCTCCCACATATTTATGAAAGTTCGAGATTTTTGTCACAGTCGACCGCTTAATCTATAAAATATTGACACGCTAATTCGTATATCATGCGAATGTCATTATGTAGTAGTTCGCGTTGCAAGCCACGGAAGTTCTACTCGCAATTGTCACAAGCTTCAGCTGACCATGACCATGTTCAAACTTGTGTTTTCATCTTACAAAGATGACCCTTCTATGTGCATTACAAATTTGCATGGTAAACATTCGGAAAAGCGCTGAGGTTTGCTGTATGGTAAGGCCGAGACTGAGTTTAGATTCAATGCGAAGGACGAGCGATCGGCAGAGCTTGTGTTTGAGCTGAGCTAGATATATCGATGTTTTGAATCTAGAATTTTGCACCTATTCTGATTTTTCCTTAACCTGTTCTTATCAGCTAACTTCGTACTCTGTGATTGATTCTTGCTATAAGTAGTAATGATTCTGAAAGGAAATGTGGAAGTTTGAGAGATTGCAATAATACCTCAAGCGTTTTAGAACAGCGTGGAAAAGAAAACGTCAAGGATACGGGGCTCGATTGTCCACGTGTACTTATATTTTAGCAATAATTTCTTGCCATGATCCGTGTGTGGCCAAATTTTTCTCATCTTTTTTGACTTTGATGCTATTGTGAAGGTTATCATTGTATTTGATTTTTGAAATATATTCTGTAGCTTTTTAGGACCTTGCCATGTTGAATCAAAGATCACATTTACAGACCATGTATCAAGTAGCACTGGTCAGACATGAAATAGCTAAGTGCATGAGCCATACAACGCCAAACGGTGCCTTGATATTCACTTCCAGTACTCCCGCATCTTCGTAGAATGCTAGTTTGCCTTACTCGAACGCAAAACACCGTGTTTTGAAAGCTTACGAGTCGGAGACATCATATGCCTTCATGTCATCTCTTTCTAGTGCTGTGCTGAATTGCTCTATTTTTTGGATTATGGCAAAAAAGCAAAACATCTTGTCCTTGCCAGGAAGAGAGCTCAACTTACTATATCGTCGACGCTCTGTAGCAAAATCTCGTAGCCTAGCATGCATTCCTCAAAGCCTGAACCGTCGGCCACTATCATTACCAACCTTTTTCTATGCTTGGAAAGAATAGAATCCAAAAAGTTAAAAAGCGTGAGCGCATAGCCGTAGAGCCCGGATTTTTTTTTAATGTACGTTTGTAGCGCATATGGGAACATGCAACTGTTCCTGTTCATTCTCAACGTTATTTTCAACTGTTGCACCATTTGAGGGTAATGGGAGAACTATCTAATTCCTTCGTTAATTGTAATTTTGCGGCAAAATCACTCTAGCTTATCGACATATCTACTCAACACTGACACCACAGCTCATCTTGTTGCTATGTTCGCCTCAGAACGAGGCTTTGCAGCAATGATATTACACTTCAATTAAGTGCTTGTATCGGAAGAATAATGTTTACTCAAAAATTAAGCGATAATTAAGCGAATTAAGATATGATTTCCATTAATGTTAACGTTGTAAAGTTCTTCTATCTAAAACTCCGCCGATGCTGTGGCAGCTGTAGCATGCATCTTAGCCTCCTGCGCTGCTGCACATGCTTGTAACATCATGCGTACGGAGAAGCGCTCTGACGGAGTGTCGTTGGGGTCCATGTGCTTTGGATATACGGTTCGAGGAGGTCTGAAAAGGATGCTAAAAAATCTCATCTTATTTTCTTATCTGTATGATACTTACGTAAACACTGGGATCTCTGCTGTGTTTATCGGGAGATGTGTGGAATCATCGAGTAAGAGAGCGAAAGGTGCTACAAGTATTGCATAGCCCAAAGAGTAGATCAATCCCGCATTTGGATATGCTTTTGAAAGACGCTAAATATACCATAATTTTCTGATTGTATGAAGACAGAGGGTTTGATCGAATTAAAAGTAGTAGGAGTCATCTTCATCATAGCAGGACATCAGGCTTACATAAAGGTCAATATCTCTAACAGTAAAAATGTTTCCTGACTTTGTTTCTATTAAGGCGTCGGAGATAAACTCTGTTACAATTTTTCAGTTTTTTGAACATTTTAGAAGCTTCCTGAAAGCCCAAAGTTGCGACTTACCTAGGAGCATCTACCCCCCAGCATGATTGATGCCGCAAATGCACAATTGTAAACACACTCGAATTTTCATTTTTCTTCAATTCGTGTGCGCTTGATTGTGCGTCTCCTCTCCTACTATATTTTTAGAATGTATCTTGGCACCGTCTCCTAAAGGGAGGCACTCCGGTGCCTTCAGCATGTCATAAACGAGGGGTAAAACTTGAAAAAATTCGAAAATTTTCCTAAACTTTTCTTTCTCGTGCAGAAATGAATACAGAAAGCTTGAAATTGATTTTTGGATTTTGAAAACGAATTTTGAAAACGTTTCTTTATTAGAATGTCTAAGATTGCAAAAATGGCGCACACTGACATTCAAATCGTTCAGGTAAACGTGCGAAGGCATGTCTATGTAAGTTCTTCATATTTGCTAAACACTACAAACTATGCCCTGCCTGATTGCCACATCGTCCGAACTCTCGCTCATCACCTAGAAAAATGCCAACTCATTTGAAAAAATAAGAACAAAAGTGGATTTTCAGCTAAAAATGGGGTTTTGGGCACGGACTGCGGATGCGACGGTACGTAGACCTTTTGACTTTGCCCACATGCCGTGAACATGAGTTTTTTTGAAAGCCTCTGGAATTTCTAAAAATTGAAATGAAGAATGAAACAAAATATAAAATAGAAAGGGTGACAGAACTCGTCCGACAACTCAATTTCAACCTAACATTACTACGGGTTCTACACAACACAACTCTCCGTCCTCAGATAATCGCAGGCGGCCATGCGATTTATGGACAAGCGGGCACCGGAAAAATAGTTCGCTGCTTTCTTGCGCTCCGCTTGTAGATATTTGGAATAATGTTGGCCAAAATTCAGAAGAATTCTAGGGGAAGATTGCGGCTTTTTTTTATGGACTAGTTGCGGCGCATGGCCGCATGCTCGTGGACTTTCCGAATACGCAAAGTCAATGAGGACCGACTGCACAATCTCTTGTGAAGGTCCGCACAACCCGTGGGTACGCTGAGAGAAAGTACCCCAAACTCGGTTAACCGTCGGTGACACCTTGCTATGTAGAGTGTTACCACCTCTGCTCGGCGTACGCCCGAAAATGCGTAACAAGAGTCAGAGCACTCGCGTAGAAATTGTTTGACGACTGCCCGCAGAAAACTCTGTATAGCTGCCCGCTGACAGAACATGCGGCAGCAAAGGAAGCACCGCTCGCTGAATGTTTAACCAAGCCCCAAAACTCTTCCGGCCGCCTGCAAGAAAGCGCGAGTTTGAGGACCGCCTGCCCCCGGCGATTGTCTGACGTCCCCGTTAGAGACCAAATGTTTTCAGCATTCCACGATATTTGTGGTTCAAATAATGTAAGAAGTTTTGCGGTCGAAATCATGTAAAATCATGAAACACTCTAAGATAGTGCTGGAGGTTTTGATAGTTTTTTATTTGCGTATACAGAGGTGATAGCTTCGATATAGAAGGATAAGTGCCTTACAAGCGTATTGTGAGTGTTTTACGACCTTTGAGACAGCTTAACGTGAGATAGGATAACATTTGAGTTATATTAAGGGAAGATTGTAGCATGATATGTCTCATCGCGCCTCCCATGGAAGGTGATTTTGCCTTTAGAGAGAACGCAGAAACCAAACTTTGTGTCTAGAATCGGGGTTTTTGCAGCTGTAATAGTTGTGTTTCAATTCAGTCGACTTTAGACTTAACTACGATGTCTTACGATCTTTTTCTTTCTACAACCCACATTTCCGAAACGATCTTAGGCCTCGAGCATACTTCACGCGATTTGGCAATGCTCCAACTGCCCATAACTCATCGCAAGCCCCCTGAAATGAACAGAAAATAGCACATTTTATCAGCCCAATTAAGTCATACACACTATGCATTTGTAAGCTACCAGTGACGAATTTGGAAGAATTTGGCAAATTGCCAGATCGCATGGCAGACATCGCTGAAGTATGCCCGAGGCTTTAGGAGTGCGCGAACTTCTCTTGATCCACTAATCTTCCCAGAACTAAGATGCCACAAATAACCGGTCACACAATAAGGAAATACATCATATCACTGTCCACTAGGAGGGTTAACAGCATGCCGCAAGGTCTGATCTAATTCTAAGACTAACTTGGTATGATTTGGCATAGCTGGGACTCCACAAGTGCTGGGCGATTTGACCCTTCGGCCTACGCGAAATTTTTTTGGGTGACGGCCTCCTGGTCAACCTGTCTCGAACTGTTGAGCAAACTAAATTGGGAAAGCACATCTCGTCCAAGTTTTTTCGTAGGGCCTTAGTGGTTTTCAGAAGTTTTATGCGAGTATGAATTGGCGTAGGGCTAGATGCAGTTAAAAAGGTTTGTAAGATGCAAAAATTCCGATATCCAAATTTGAAAAAGTTCTGCATGTTCGATAAAGTTTTGATTATCCGGAAACTCATGCCGCGGCTCGATATGGGATGCCAGCGACGATAGGTTGTCGATTCAGTTTACAGGAAATGGAGGTACGTGTATGATTTGTGATCACTTTACTTTTGGTTGCAACACAATTTGTCTAAATAGTTGTAAGGCCATGCGCTTAAATCATGGTCCCCCAACTATTGTCTTGGCAAGCTCGCACCGGAAATTGCTATTCATTTTTCAGCGGACATGCTCCTTTTGGAAGAATATGGCGATTTTGCTTGATTTGAGCAAGCGAAAAGCGATGAGCGACTAGTTCCACCCTTTAATCGCAACCCTGGATGAGTCGTGAGGCTTTGTAATCGCAACGAATTCATCCCAGAGCTATGACAGAGGTTGAGAGATTCAAAATTTGATAGGATCTGGATCGAAATGCATATCATTAGATTGCATATCATTGTGTTCTGTCGAGCTGAATCCAATTCATACTTCCATATCTGCTGCGCGGTTTATCACAAGAAAATATGAGTGTTTGAAAGTCCATGTATGGCGAGGAGGTTCAGTGGCACCCCTTCAAGAATTCCTTATTCAAAAGCAATTTTTCATGTTTTTTGTTAAAGTGTGCATACATTGTAGTAAGCACGCTGAACAGCTTGCTAATTCTGCACTCGCGAGCTGGACTTCAATGTACATCACGCAGAGACCCTGATGATACCGCTAGAACTTCTTCAAGAAAATCGCGCAGCAGTTGCTGGAGGTAGAATAGACGGCAGACACCAAGACGTACTTAATCATATGCATTTCATTCATTTCGCCTCTGCAACTTGGGACGTTTCCTTGTTAGCAGAAACTACCGCACAGTATGCGATCAGAAACGCTATATAGGGCATTTGGAAAGTCAATGCGACGGATGAAGAGTCTTCGCACACATAGCAGCATTGAGCACTAATGCGGAAAAAACCACCTTAATGCTTAGCTTAGTCAATTCCAGACCCTAAATGCTAATATCCGTATGAAAAACAAAAACATGTAGAGATGGAATCCAAGAGAATGCGGTTGCCGGAAATGCGTACGCGAGGCGCGCGGCCGCGCCATCGTCACAATTTCATCATTACTTTATAACTCATTGCAATTGATTAGGAGATATCCCTGAGCCAAGGAATGGCGGTGCAGAACTAAGCAGACATCCTCCATCTCATTTAGTCCGCCGCTCTATGACATGGCATGTCATGTAAGTGTGGTAAGAGGGGATGGGCGGGGGTGGGGGGAGAGAAAGCTGTGGAAGATGTTTGAGAGAGAAAGTTGGGATTGTCTTCATGCGCTACTTCAGTTTTCTCACATTTGTTAGAAAATTCACAAATTTCAGTTGTTTTTCTGCAAAAAATTTGCGACCGCGTGGCTAACACAAAACCATTTGTTTCAAAATTCAAGGGATTTGAGATCAACTGATGAGTATCAAAGATTTCATGATATATATCTGATAAATACCAAGAATGCTCCAGATTTTTCCCAATTGCTCTCTTTCCTTTGGAGAAAATTGTCGTTTGCCATTTCTTTTGAGACAGAAATCTCGAGATAGTTTTAAGTTAGAAGGCATTTTGGCAAAAGAAATTACGGTAAGCAAGCATTTTTGTGGCAGATAAATTTAGCAGTGCATCATTTCGATCACAAAAAGGCACAGCTTAAAAATGACACGAGATAGTTCTAAGTTAGATTATCTTTACTAGAGCTCAAATTACTGGCATACTAACCGTTGCTACATGTTGCACGGCGATACGGATAAGGACCGTAACATTCAAGTATACAAAAGCAAGGGGTACAAGAGACCTTAGTGAGGTGGGAACGTGCTCCATTAAAATCTGAACATCGCTTCCTGTAAAATTGAAGTTTTGCCTCCATCTCTCAACTAACCACTCTTGGCACTATTAATAGCACTGTAGCAGATATCATTCCGCACGCATAAGTCAAATGAGCAGCAAACAGACGCCAACCTTAACGTATGAGCTATCTGAGGAGAGCAAAAAAGGAGTCAAACTTACCTTGAGGGCTGTTCATCCTTCGACAGGCGTTATACGATTCTAATCTTAAGTTGAGCAGTAAAATTTGGCTCATAATAGCTACTGACAGCATAAGAGTCAATGTAAGACGGCGTCCTAATCTACAATGGCAAAATTTTCTTTAGTATGACTGATTAGCTTGAGCAGTAAGAAGCTGGTTGTACCAATTTTACTTCATTCACAATGGGTCGCAAACAAAGACAATTCTACGGAAGGGACCCTAATAGGTGAAAAGAGTTGGAGACGTTAACGTCAGAATTTGAAGTCTGTAGTACTCAATAAATGCAATCGAAAGCGCTCTTAGATAACATATTGAAAGTATTATTGTTTTTTTTGCATGTGTGTTTTTTTTGAGCTTGCATTTTCATCTCAAAGTTTGTTGCTCTAGTGAGTCTCCTCCGCTCTTCTCAGTCTGAAACGAGACATTCCTCAATCTCAAGTTCCCACATCTGCGTTCTCTTTTCGCGTCCACCTAAACCTGGCCTTCGTGTTGGCCTCTTTCTGGTCATTCCTACAGACATTCCCAATCTAGCAACATAATCTCTGCTCGTCTTTATCATGCCTGTCCCATCGGATCGCTTCTCTCGTAATCTCTTGACGATGGGGGCGTTTCTTTTGTAACACGTGTGGTGTCGTTGGTGACATGATCCATGGTGATTGTCGTTCGTTTTAATGTTAGCATGACAGCCAACATTCGCTGCCATACAGAGCAATGGGGCGGATTATAATACAATTGAGTTTTACCTCTTCCCCCCCCCCCCTGAGAAGGGGTCGCGAAATTTTTGAAAGTTACTTACATGGGTTATAAAATTGTGCAAATGACTTGTCTGCACTTGCAAATAATTAAAATAATTTTCAAATTTTAAAAAATTCACTTTAGCCTCATTGTGAGCCCGCGAAAACTTCAGAGGGCATGTCAAAAAATTTTTCGGAGTGTGTGGCTGACGCCACGCACCTTCATCGAAAATTTTTTTGTCGCGCCCCTCCCGAGCCGAAATCCTGGGTACGCCACTGGTATTTGCATAGCGCTGGGGTTCCTGTGATACTTCCCCATTTTAATCAAGTATTTATCCCGCTAGTCATTTCGACCTAGAGCGAACTGCACCATGCGACTCTTGGTCACTTGATTATCGTGATCATTGCGATCAAAATCGATCTGAATTCTTTCGGACGTTTGGGATCAGCTGCATCTACTCGGTCTTCGCGGTGTTGTGCTGTTCAACAAATCACTTTTTCATTTTTGCACCTTCGCCTACAGAAATTTATTCTCGCTCCTTGTCATTAACATCAAGTCATCTGCGTACATCAGGCTCATGGAGGTTGACGTATGAAGTATCTAGCTATCGTATTCACGTCCATGATAAAGAGTAAGGGCGACACTACCGAACCTTCATAAACTTCGACGTTTATTTGGAGCTGTGATGGTCCTGCTGCTGCTGTGTATGAGCTTCTGGCATTTTTGTGCATCAACTTGATGTTGCTCGTATTCTTTACTTTCTTATTGACCTACATAAAACGTCATTTTACTCCTTATTAAACATTAAATATTGAACAATATTCCTTATTATTGAACACCTTTGCAGGTCAAGAAACGCTGCACGACTTGCTTTTTGCTTCTTTATTTTCATCACTATCCTGGCAGCATAGATGGCATGTTGTGCCGCAACCCTTCACGAATCCCGAGTGGTTAGGGGCAAACTTCACGATGCTTTACAGCGCGTTCCTAGAAACATTTTCGAGGAGCTTCAGAATGTGGCACATAAGTCGGATGCCGTCACTTCGAACAATCAACTATATCGCTTTGTTCCTCCATAATGATCTCAGCGCGTAGCTGTCAGCACAACATTTTCCAAATTTTCAATGTTAGTTTGAAAGAGCCTTTTGAAAATTGTCTCTGCCTTCGACGACCACCCCTCTACTACCTCCCTCCTTCAAATTTCTGGGACCGCAGTGCATGCTAGTATGTGCCGAAAAATTTCCAAATAAGATTTATGTATACAATCCCCTTTTTTAAATACATACTTTAGACTAAAAAAGACGTGAATACATCTTTTTAATAAAAAGCATAAAATTGTCCAGGCAGAGTTGAGGGTTGTGCTTAAGTCCATGTAAAAGAAGTCGCCTTCTACATACCATCAACAAGTGCAAAATTACAACTTCTGATTATAGAGAAATAAATTTGAAAAGTTCGGAACTTAAGTCTCAATGGGAAAGCGAGATGAGTTTGCTTGAACCGCAAGAAAAGTGCGCATTCCGCCGCAGTTGAGAGTATAGGGTCGTGCAGCGAATCTGCATCTCAGCGTTGGCGGGAACTCGTCCAATCTTAATTCGACTTGCATTAGAAACGCTTTTTCTCACTATTTCCGCGCTTTTCAATATGGATATCGAATTGAGCGTACAGGAAAAGTCCAGGTAATCGATTAATCTAGAAATTAAGTTTTTGTTGGAAACTGCATTGAGATAGAAACACGTCTCTTAAAAAATTCATATAACATCGAGCATTTGCGAAGCGATCGAAAGCTCTATGTTAACAATCACTCTTTCGATGAGTAACTAAAAACCCTCGAAGGTTCAAATTCAAACGAGGTTCTCGTGAAACCGCGTAACTTGATGTCAATTTCACGAATCTTAACGGTAATGATCACACACCTCGGACAGAGGTAGACAGTTACCACCAGACCGAGTAAGCTGCAAATATTTGACATAAAGTCCGACTCGTATGCCCCATATGAAAGACGATCGTGAAGGTAAGCAAATGAAGATGAGAAAATTAGCGATCCCAGTGGCCTGAAAATCTTGTTTCTCGTAAGTCAAAGCAATAGTAGGTTTTGCTGAATTAGCCTTATTTATACTTTGAGCACGTCTGGCTAACTTACAAAAGACAAGCACAAATTGCTGTTTTACGAAAAAGTGGCCCGAATCTCAAGAGGTTCTTGAAAGTGCTCATTCGAGAAGTGAATACCGGTCCGCGGTACAAAATATTATCGATAAGCGAGTCTATATTTATTAATTTTCCTGAAAAGAGAACATTTCAAAAAAGCACACAGTTTTACATCTTACCTCTCTTCACCCATTTTTCCAATTCCTCAGTGAGCAAGCTTGTTTTTGCCATTAGAAGAGTGTACATGATATCGGGTGGAGCAAATCTGAACACATTTTGTATTTCCTTTGAAGATGTAACGCAATCGTGTGTGATAGATATGAGTGTGGCTAAACGCCCTTCTTGGTTTTGGTGAATATTATGAGCGAAAGTGGCTGCCAAGATCCTTTACACAGATGCACTACTTTTCTTATGATTTCGCCTTTCTCGAGCTTTTCATTACATTATATCAGCTATGCTAGATAGAGCAAAGTTAATATAGTGGTTAGCGCTCTATCGGGTTCGATCCCACTCTAAGCGTGATTTCAGCCGCAAAAATTCTGCCCACATTTCCAGCGTCAGGCTGCCTTTCCAAAAAAGGGCAAGCGACAGCAAGCTGAGGGACCCTCGCATCAATCAGGAAGACATGTCTCAAACAGTTACATGAGTAAAGGCTAGGGCGGTCTCCGGAAGCGATGCGCATCCGAGCCCGACAAACCAGCAAGATGAACGGGAACGTCTGGAGCGCCCAGTTTACCGGAGGTAACAATCTAAGGTATCGCAGACTCTCCGTCTATACCATCAATACGGTACACTCGCCACTCGTTCTCGAGAGTTAGCAGTTCTTCTGAAGAGACGGCGAGTTGATGTAGTCTGCATAGAGGCGGAGTGAGCGGGGCAAAGTCACGCGACATCGGACATGGATATAAGCTTCTCTACAAAGGTGCCACCTGCACCAGAAACGGGTTGGTATAGCTGTCTCGGAGACTCCAAGGGCAATAGTTGACGTTGAGCGCATAAGCAGTTGTCTGATGAGCATAAAATTAGATACACATGTCCTACGAGTGATCACTGCCTAAGCGCCACAAGTCGGATGTAAGGATGATGAAAAAGACGCGTCCTGCCAGGGGCTGGATGATCACATCAGTTCAAGTCCACTGACGAGACACTACTGATAGAAGCGGACCTTAACGGACATGTGGAAGAAAGGCGAGGAAAAGCCGGGAAATGTCACGAAGGCCAGGGATACGGAACATGCAATGAGGAAAGTGAGCGTATTCTAGAATTCGTAGAATTTTTTTTCATATTCTAGAATCTAGTCTTGGCAAACACATGTGCTACATCAAGAAGGATGATCACCTCATAACATATGCGAGTGCGACCGGCAAACACATATAAACTTCTGAGCTATCATACAGCGCGATCTCAAAACATAAAGGTTTGCAAAGTTATTCCTAGTGAGCTCAACATAAAACACTGCTTCTCGAAATCAAAATAACAGTGGATAAGGACATCAGGAGAGCCACAAAGACCAGGAGACGCATTAAACCATTAAATTTCGGACATTGATAACCAACAACGCGAAGAAACAAGCACTGCTAACAACTCTACCAAACTTGCAAGAGGACCCAGAGCAATTCTGGGCGAGCTTGAAAGAGGAGTCTACGAAGTGGCACACAAAATTTTGGAAAGTACAAAGCCCGGAAAAAGAAGGATTAATCGAGAAACGTGGTGGTGAAATGACGAAGTGCAAAAAGTCATAAATGAGAAGAGGGATGCGTACAAGCGATGGCATAATCAATCGGAGGACGATCGCCTGACATACCAACAATTCAAACAGGCTGCGAAGGCTTCCGTAAAGAAGGCAAGAGGTGTACATGAAAGGGCTCTACGATTATTTGGAGACTTGCGAGGGAAAACGTGAAAACGTATATTGGATAGATGGAATAAGAGCGGACTCCACAAAAAATATGGAACACTTCCTCCATATCAAAACAAACTTGGTAGGACGCTAAGAAAGCCAGAGGACATCGTCGAGAGATAGAGAACGTACTTCGAAGAAATGGCCACCAGAGACCGCACCATCAACTCCATTCCAAAAGTTAGTCCTATAGGAGAACCAGTATCAGCAGTCACGGAAGAGGAAGTGTTGCTAGTCGCAAGAAGAACAAAGAAAGGCAAAGCGAGTGGCCCAAACGACATACCAAGCGAGTTCTGAAAAATATGTGGACAATCCGGAGCCACATGGTTAACGAGTCTCCTCAATCAAATTTAAGGAGCAAGAGTATGCTTTGCGATGGTACACTAGCACGACGATCCCGATATGGAAGAAAAAAGGAAACATAGCAGACTGCTCATCCTACCGACCAATCCACTGATGAGTTATCCTATAAATCTTCGAGCGAATAATTAAAACGTGTCTAAGAAATATCGTAGAGTTGTCACCAAATCAGTGCGGATTTGTGAAAGGAGAAGATACAATTGACGCAATCCACTCCGCTCGGATAGTGATGGAGAATTATAGAGAAAAGCAGAAGGAATTGCATGCAGCCTTTCTGGACCTAGAGAAAGCCGTCTAAGGTGCCCTGCCCTATGAAGTCATATGGTGTGCCTTACGGAAACACAGAGTGCCGTAAGAGTACGTTCAGTGGATAAAGTTGATCTAACACAGCGCTTTAAGCCACGTGCAAACAGCTGCTGGGCAATCGGAAAATTGCAAATCAAGGTTGGAGTACACCAAGGTTTAGTTCTCTCTCCCTTGCTCTCCATCATTGTGATGAACGCCAGATAAAACAGCTCAGAACATGACATTGCTTGGACATTTCAATAGCAAGTATCAGAAAGGAGCTACAATACGAGGTACAAAACTTGAAAACAGTCTAGAGTTGTATGGCCTAAAGCTCAACATCAAGTAAACAGAGTATATGGAAGTACGAAAAAGCTCCTGGTGAAACGAGCTCTGTTACCATAAGCATCGATGGTGAAGAGCTAAAGAAGACAACGTCATACAAGTACCTAGGCAGTCACATCTTAGCGGAAGAAGGCTTACAAGAGGAGGTCGCAGGCAGGATAAATACAGCATGAATGAAATGGAGAGCCTAGAAGGCCTCGTTTACCCAGAGTCTCAACTCCCATGTTTTGCTCATTTCGGGATTCTCTGTCCCTCTTTCCAAATAAGAAGTCGAAAATCCTCGAAAACCTCGACAATTTCCGTTCCGGAAAACACCCAGGCCGATTCTCGGAAAGGTGATTGGATGGGCGCGCACGGAGAGGCGGGCATTACTGGAGAGGGACAGTGCTGACTAGAGGTCCTCCTGCCTGTTTGCTATTCCGGAGCGATTTTCTCGCTTCCGAAGCGAATTTTGCCCCGCAGCTTCGGCATTGGCTTGATAGGGGATCCTACTATCGTAAGCTGCCAAAAGCTCAAGACCCCTAACTTAGGGTGGACGGTGCCTTCAACAAAAGTTCTGCGCGACAAGACAATGCCGTGCAGCTCAAGTCCCAAAATGTAGACTGTTATCTGCCCAGTAACGCTGTATAGCAGTAAGTGCCGGCAGTGTACGCGGGACGAGGAGCGCAGGCTCAAGTGTCATGGCAAGGATGCTACGATGGACCTTAGGTCACACTGAAGGATCACATACGCAATGACACTAAATGACTGCAAATAAAGGTAGCTCCAATTACCCAGACAGGAAAAGAGGTTACGATGTTATGGGCATGTGTGCAGAAGGGATAAAATTCCCATAACAAAGTTAGCTTTGGCTGTGGAGGCGGCATGTGAAAGACCCAAAGGGAGACCGAAGATAAGATGAATGGAGAAAATCAAGGCCGACCTGCAAGAACTCGATATAGACGAAGACCTTGCTTCAGATAGGATGACCTGAGGACATCAGACAAGGAAAGCAGATTCTGCATAAGCGGCACATATGCGAGGATAAAAAAATCAGTTATGCAAGATCTAAGCTGTCCAAAATGTGCTTCTGCTTTTTGAAGAGATCAAACGAACGCTTATGGGTGCTGACAATCGTAGTGTACTAGAGAATTTGCTTTTTCAAAGACATGTTTACTGAAGTATAAGGAACCCTTCAAAAACTGCATGTGTCTGAGAAGGGTGGGTAAGATATCTGCGGAAGTTGTTAATCTTTCAGCGATGACATTTCGCTAAATTGATTTACCCTTTCAAATCTGCTTTGTCTGCGAGAATGTTTACGAACATCTCTTTACAAAAGTCAGAGGGGCTGATGGTCTTCCAAATATAGCGTTCTACAATACTTGTAAAAAGTGAAATGCTACCTAATTTATCTCTCAACGTCATGGACAAAGCAAAGAAGGCACCGCGCTTAGTGCCTCTCTAATGCTAATCGCTTGATTTCTTTTTCGCCAAGTTTTGTGTCTCATTTTGTTGTTTCATTTTGCTTTATAATATTTTATGACACGGCGATTTTTGATAGTACAGTTTGTGAGACTGGACATCCTCCGATTATACATTAGTCAAGCCCAAGGCAATGAGTATCCAACGTTGTAGTCCTGGGCATTTTTTTAGAGTGATCGATGTCACAGCTTGGAACAAGATAGGGCATCAAAGAGTGGAAAGTCAAGTGACGGATTAATCGCAGGCAAACTCCATTAAAGAACATACTAATATAAACGAACATCTCTTCAAAAAACCTACGAATATAATATTTGTTTACCTGATGTGCAAACAGCATGTTGTGACTATGGATATTGCAACCATCGCGTGTGTCCAGAACAACGAATAGTTGACTACTTTAGAGTACAGTATCATGCACATGTTAAAAATCACTCCCTTAAAGAATTGTATCATGCAGAAAAACACACACGCAACTATTGAAGCAGAATCATTGCCAGACAGTTCAAGCGCAGATTTGTAACTATCACAGTAGCTTCTTTACAAGGTAGAAAATTCGACTTGGATAAGTTGGACATGTACAGAGTATGCCAAAACTACCGGCGCCAACTTTGCAGCACTGCTCGATGAGACTATGACAAGGGAACGATCCCAACTTAAGGTAGCGAATGGAATGCGGTTGGAATGTACCGCATGTCATCAGATGCGACTTTACGAGCTAATTCCAAATCTTCCTTCTATATCTGCGAAGTTATTCCCTGCAAAAAGTTATGAGCGGTTAAAATGTGAAGGCATTGGGGTTTCAATGCATAATGTGCTTCAAAATTCAATTTGGTAGTGCATAGCTAGCATGATATTGAGTGTACTGTTTACAGGGAATGTTCACATTTGAAGGAAACACAAATAAGTATGTTGAATAGCTAAAAAAGCAACTAAAGTTTTTGGTAAAAGCTTGAGCAATGAAAGGCCAAATTTGACAAACATACAGAGTCATGCCTCGAGAATTAATGATCAAAAACACTTTGTGTTTCCTTTTAATGTGAAATTTCTTGAAATCAGTACACTCAATATCATGCTAGTCATGCAATTTCAAGTTGGGTACTGAAGTGCATTATACATTGAGACATTATCGACTTCAGACATTTAACCGCTTTTTGCTGAGAACGGCATCGCAGATACAGAAGATAGATTTGGAGTCAGCTCATCAAGGTGCATCTAATGGTATGCGGGTCATTCCAGTTTACCACCTTAAACTGGGATTGTTCCCTCGTAAGAGATATAGGCTCAAGTAGTGGAATGTACTAATAAAACTGCACAAAAAACACTTTACAAATTCAAAAACACTTTAGAAGAATGTAATCTGAAGAATCAGACTAGCAATTTCCGGAAAAAGCACGAGTAAACTTCTACACCTTGATATGTTGCTCCGCAACTGAACGAAGTCAGAATCTTTCTGAACTATTTCAGACTCAGATCGAGCAAATTTGCACTACCACATAGTTCTAGTTGCATTTGTAAGAACTTCTTCATTAACGAAATAGAAAATGTATTAGCGAAAAGTATCTGCATACGAGGGACGATTTCACGTTCAAAATCGATTGTGAGACCCCAGGCACGCAGAATCTTTCAGATAAAAAACATTTCTCTATTTATCAGACATGTGGAAGAGGATCTAAAAATTTTGAAGACTAATTCGTGAAAATGGATTTAGAATTGATTTAGGAGGCATTTCCTAATTCTCAGGCGCACCTAGAAGAGCCAAAATACCACTGCTTTTCAAAATCCTGCCCCCCGAAAATGTTATTGGATAAATAAAACTTTTTGAAATAATTTCTGAATCTTCATACTCAACAGTGGTAGAAGCAGGGGTTTGTTATATTTTAACAAGCAATTTCATAGGAGCAGAAAAGGGTTTGAAAAGATAGATTTGCACACAGAGTACACTGCAGCTGACATAAAGCTTTGAGATTTTTTGGAAGATGAAGCGGCCAAATTCTGATTTAACTATTGCATACAGTGATAATGGTGGGCGAAAACAGATGCATGCGTAAGCGACCTAAAGCCCTTCTTGTACTTTTCTGACACCCAAGGAAACACGCGCCGGTATTTTTTGGGACACCCTATGTACAATATACATTGATTATTTACAATTAGCGTGCTTTTGGCTGCTGTAAATTTATTGAGTTTGAGGTTATTTCCATCTCAAAGGCAGTGTCCAGACAAATCTGGACACTGCCCAAACCGCAGCGCAAATGATTCATTCACGACTGAGATTTCCATTCCCAAACACTCCGCCCCTGCTCCGTAACCGTAATACTTAGGATGGGTCCCAGCGCGAACGCAGTGTTAGAGTGAGCAAAGTGGTTTTCGGTTACGGTCACGGCGCAGGCCCGGGATTTTTAGGGACGGATTTCTCAGCTGTGAATGAACCATTTGCATTGCCGCTTGGGCAGTGCCTTAGTTAGGACTCCGTCATCAATTTCTAGCCGAAAAACTCATGCGCCCAGATTTGCTTGAACACTGCATATACACTATCATTGCATATTTTAACGATGTGGTGGAATGCTTACCACTGCAAACATTATCGATAAAGCATGTACACGGAGATGTTTTGGAAGGCTTTCCATACAGTGCATCATCATTGGAATTCTCATCAGCTTCAATTACAGGTAGTAATTTTGTGTTGATGAAAAATGCACAAGATTTGACTTACTCGCACCGATACTCCTGAGAGGAAAATGGAGGCTCGCACAAACGTTTTACTACTCGTCAGGCTTAGCACCGGGCAGATCGAGTACAACAATGCTCCAATCAACAATAACCGTGATGTTTTCATTCTAGAAACATAATTTATCGCTTACAATCTATTAGATTGGTCCAAAAGTTTTGTCGGTTTTTTGAAATGATCCGCAAATCCGGTACACTAAAGATAAACAAATACTTCAAGCTGCGTCCGATGCATAAATTCTTCCTCTTTCCAGCTGCCATATTTCTGCACTGATTTATAAGTGAGTGTTGAATAATAGCTGGACATTACAACCCTTCGTTTTCACTATGTCTGACGCTAATTTTCATATTTCAAAGTGAGACTTTCGGGAAAGCATTGATAGCCAGCAGATAGCGCAAACCTTTTGCCAACAAAAGCAATTTTTTGTAGCTCTTAACTTGTTTTTCAGAATTTATGAAATTCACTTTTTGAAGTAACCAGATTTTATGTTTTAATCATTCTAACCTCTTAGAACTTGAAACGGTAAACAGTTTAGGTGCTATTTAATGCAACTTATTCTCCTCTTTGTAACAGCTGCTTTTTCTTGACCAGATACGCGAAATTTGCGGACAACATTGCTTATGTCTCAGTTTCAGGAACGCGCACTGATGTAGCTCAAGTTTTGGAATTTCCATATTTTGGAGCGAAAATCGCTCATTTACTCTGTAGGGATATCGATAGTAACGAATCTAGTGTTAAAGCGCCAGTATTCTGAAGATTTTGTAGTGTTTCGTGCAGTAACAGGCTATGTGATTATTCTAAAACTCGAAACTTTTCGAAAATTATTTAGCAAACTTCTGAAAGAGTAGCTGGAGAAAAGAAAAAACCTTTAGTTAGCAAAGCGTCTGCCCTATCTGAAGGTTGTTGAAGCTCCTCCAAAAATCCCATATAACATTTTTGAGTATTAGCGGAACTTGGGCATGGGGAAAATGAGAGTTGTAAATTCCGGCGATAATCTCAGCGCTCTTCAAAACTTTCGCATCGAAAAATAGCTGCTGGAAAGAGGATGAAATTCTGCATCTGATGCTGCTTAAAGCATTTGTTTACGTTTGATGTTATATTACTACTAAACAAAACACTCGTAAAGGCATGTTATCTTTGACATTTTACAAACAGCGTTTCATAATGGACCCGATTTCTGCTTTTGATTGATTATTAGGTTGTTACAAAAGTTTCTGAACGTTTTTACACTAATCTGCTATCTCTCGGAATCTAATGCATATACACGAGCTTCACTTTGCAGTTGTACTCTCGCTGGTAACTGATACTTGAACAAGTAGGAGGAGCCTAGGACCAAAATGGCGGAGTTCTCACCTGTAATTTACTGTGTAATCCTTGCTATCAAAGCTCCAATTCCATGCATGTGAGCACGTAGGTATGTGTATATTGTATTAGGTTGATGCGTAATTCCTGCACTAAAATAGGTACAGACAGCAATGATACATATTTTTTCGATATCCTAAATAATTCCTGATATACCATTCGATAGAGCAATGCTAGCTTTACAAGCTAGTGCTTGAAGTTTTGCAGCAGCTTTGATCCAAGCGAAAATTGAAAACAAAACGAAGAAGATGCTAGAAGTCCCTTGAAAAAATCCTTTAAAAATTCTAACTTGCTCATGCATTCGCATTTTGTAGAAGACATTTTTCCTACGTAGTTGCTGTGTTTTTCTCAGCTAGAAATTGGGAAAACGAAGTTTTTCATGTTTTTTTTTCTCAGAACATTGCCGAGATGTTCTAACAATTGTATACTACAGGATTTTAGGAGTTTGAATGTGAATTTTTAGCTTTCTATGGTTAACGAAAAATATTGATTTTTTCGCAATTAGGCAAGAAAAATTCAGATAAGGAAAGCTAGTTTTGATCCTTCTCGTGAACTAGTTTTCTAGAAGGCTGAAAATGTAAAGTTTTGCTGCTAAAGGCATGTAGTATACAACTGTTAGTTTAGAATATCTCAGCACTCTTTGGAAAAAAATAAGAGAAACTTTGTTTTCTCATCGTCTAGCTTAGAAAAAATACAGCAGCTGCATAGATAAATGTCTTACGTGGAACATCTACGCGTGAGCAAGCAAGAACTTTTGTAGGGGGTTTTTTAACCGAGTTATAATTTTGCTTTAATTTGTCTTAAGGGCCGCATGTTTTTTTTTTCAATTTCGGCTCAAAACATCGCGGGATCAGTTTGAGCGCTATCTTGTTAGTAGGTTTGCTCTAGATGACATATAATCCTATCATGACTTATAATAAGCGGCTTAATCTAAAGTTGTGTGGAGTTTGTCCGTTACGAAATTACAGTGAGGAATGATTTACGATACTAAACATCATGTGAGGTTAAGATAGCGAGTATGGTTCATTTTTATCTGCGGGTCCGTTGCAATAAACCGAACAATGTTTGAGAGACAAGCTCTCAGAAAGTGAGTTTACTACGGTTCACGATGCCACTGGTTTAGGATATAGGAGAATTCCGGATTGTTGCGGTCTGTACCTCTTTTGGAGCAGGAATTATGCATCAACCTAGTATATGAGGCATGTGGCATTGTCATAAAGATTGTGGAAGGTGGAGATTTGGCTTAGGCCAAAATGTATGTTTTTAAATTTTCGCCTGTTCACAAGAAACGGCGATTATTATGCTCGTGCTTGATATAATGCCAAAAAGCTTCCTTTTTCTCCTTCTGCGGTGGTTGGTAAAGGAAAAAGGCTTCCCTTTTTTCTACATCTTTGTCGAAATGCATCGTACGAAAGCTTTCGAATAGAGGACCATATGCCGCCAAAAGAGGAGCTCACTCGGAATATCCAAGAAGTAGGAATCGCTTTATGCACGCAAGAGGTGCGATCTGTTACAGAAGCCACGCGGGACCTCCCCTTTCGGAGACGAGTAGTTCTTTACTCAAAACATTTTTTCAAACGTAATAGCGTTAAACATTATCAACAATCTCTTATGTAGAATGAAAGTAAAGACTATGGCCCGTAGTAAAGCTCGATCATGGGAGATGATCTCCCCTGAGACCTTCATGTGAGGTTTTGCCAGTAAAATGACGACCGCCCATATCCCCATGCTATAGGGATGCAAGGTCAACTGAGAGGTGAGCCTCAGGTGAAGTTCGGCAGGGAGATGATCTCCCCTGCCGGGTCATGGGAGATGATATGAGCGATGATGTCCAGAAATAGTGTGCTTAAGAGGAAACGCAGAGAAAATCGTCGTAAGTTGCTCCTGAGTAACTTACAATACACACCACTTTGCCTAAAAATGCAGACAAAATCGGCGCAAAATTGCACAACCGCGCCCGAAAAGGAGAGGATCGATGAACAGCTGATTTTGGCGAGGAAGACAGAAAAAAAAACAAATCCCTCTCTTTTTTGTAAACTTCACTGGTTTTTTATTGAAGCTGTCCAAAACGAGGACTCATTTGTTCATTTCATTGAATTCACGTTGCAACTATTTCGTTTTGTCGCAAAATTTTCGTAACGAAATGTTTTTTTGTTTTATCTCTGCGTTTGCTAGGCGAAATCCTTGATAGCGGTCATCATCGATTGGATAGTGGCCGCTATCAAAGATTGCCCGGCGATGCAGCAAAAGTTGTGTCGCTAGGCGGAGTCGAACCACGGCCGCGCGCGTGTAATTCCAATTGCTTACCCATTTAACCAAATCGAACCAAGTAGCTGTTTTTTTGAGAACGCACTTGATTATAATGTCCAGGAAGCGATCTGCATCCAGATCAATAGCTCGCCGGATGCTGGACTGAGGCGCCAAGATATCAACTCCGGTCCGCCTCAGGGGAGATGCCCTGACGGTAGTTTACTACGGGCCTATATGTCAGCATAACTTGCATCACCCTTACTACAGGCCGTCTAACGGCAACAGGCTCGCGTAGTGCAGCCTCAACGACACGCGCGCGAGCTGGTATCTTGCTCAGGAGTCATGGATTCAAAGCTTTCAGTGTTTCTTATGTCTGTTTCTCATTCTTCAATGGATTAGAAGCTATGACTGTTATACATAGTTAAAGTATTGCTGGGAAGCCAGGTCACGCGTAGGGCCGGTCTCCGTCAGACGCATTGAGCAAAGGATAGGTGCGATAGGTGGAGCAACGACTGCCAGTTTCACTTCTGAAGCGACACCTGGATGACCCCCTTGACCTGAGGACGAGAGTGAAGTCAAGGCATATTGGCAGAATAACGCATTTATAATAAATGATGCGTTTTTTATTTGGGAATGCCAGCTGCTGCTTTATCTCAGTCAGTGCATAAATGCATTTTTTGAAAGCATCGTAGCACCGTTTGCTGAGAGAAACAAATGCTTCAGACCTTCTGTCTCACAGAGTTGCGTTTTGATAACGAAATATACTCAAAAGTCAAGAGAATGTCCAATTCATCGACTAAAACAATGGTTAGAACTTAATCTAGCTATTTAAAACAAGCTATACGTCATCGGACTCGCTTTGAAACGCTGGTTTCAAATATATACTTATTATCTGCCGAACGACTACATGAAGAGAGTTTAGCGCCTAGACATGAGAAACTATTTGAGTCTCAACGGATATAATCTGTTCCAAGGCAGCTGAAGGCGAGTAATTACAGTAATTATGAGTATTCTTTGTCACAAGGAAGAAACACATTTACCAAAAACCTAGGCAAGTGTTTCTGAGACGTTTATTGCGGGGCGTGCGCTACAGAGTACTCAACGAATTGCACATTCAAACGCTCGTAACTCCTTCCAGGTAGTCGTTCGGCAGATAGCAAACGTATAATTGATATCAGCGATCAAGGCGAGTCAAACGACGTGTGGCTTGTTTGGGTTGAGTTGTGACCATTTCCTGCTAAGCAGCTTTACAACAGTGACCAAGTCTTGCAGAAAAGGATCATTCAGGAGTAGAAAGTCTGATCGGACAATGATGGAAGCATATTCACAGAAAAAATTGATCCATAACTCTTTTCTTTGAAAACGACAATAAGATAAAATAATTACACAAAAGAGATAGAATTGCAGTTAGATATTGGTCATATCTTGCTTTGCAGGAAGCCTGGTGAAAAACTCAGACAGTCGAAGGGATACCTTCGGCGGGCAAATGGCGCGAGT